TCCAGATGGGAAAAATCAAAAAAAAGTGCAGACGGAAGCAGATGGGGGAGCGAAACGGTCAGGCAATATAGTGCTGCTGCTGCTGCTGCTGCTGACGATGCTCTGCTGCTGCTGCTGCTCCTGCTGACGATGCTCTGCTGCTGCTGCTGCTGCTGACGATGCTCTGCTTCTGCTGTGTGCTTCTGCTCCTGCTGCTGTTGTTCCGTAGCTGCTGCCGTTGCTGCTTCTGCTCCTGCTGCTGTTGTTCCGTAGCTGCTGCTGTTGCTGCTTCTGCTGTTGCTCAGCTGCTGCTGTTGCTGTTGATTAGGTGCTGGTGTTGCTGCTGATCCGCTTCTGCTGCTGCTTTTTGTTTAGCCGTAGCAGTTGGAATGGAGGCCTGAGGGGCCCCAGAAGCAGCAGGAGCACGTGTTTCTCCTTTCTGTATGTTTGTCTGTTTGTTTGTCTGTGTCTAAGTTTGTGTGTTTGTGTTTATTTGTTTAACGTAATAGATGTATTTATTTATTTGTATGTTGTTTATTTCTCTTTTTTTTTGTTTGTTTTATAAACAGGATAAGCCGTTTCTTCCTCCGCCTTTTATTGATTTACCTATCGGGATGACGCCGCTGCAGGTGGATCGGTTTCTGCGGGAGCAGCGGCTGGAGGAGTTATTTAGAAAGCTAAACAACGGCATATTAGAGTTCTTTGATGCTGACATTCGTCCTCCTTCTCCTCCTCCTATATATGATAAAAATGGTGGCAGAGTAAACACCAGAGACGTACGTGTACGCACAGCTATGCAAAATGAATTACAAAGACTGTGTGAGTTTATGCTCGCCAACGTCGAGGGCTTCACTCCGCCGCCAGACTTCAGGCCCTCTAAGAAAATACGCAGAATTGAGTTTCCGCATGAAAAGGTAATAACTCTTCTGCAGTCGTTCTGCTGCTGTTGTTGCTGCTGCTGGTTGTTCTTGGTGGTCGTGGTGGTGCTGCTGTTGCTGTTGTTTTTTGCTGCTGGTTTTGTTTGTTGTTGGTGCTGCGGTGGTTGCTGTAGACTCGATTTGGGGTGTATAGACAGCTGCGTAGAGTGAGTGCTGTTGTTTGTGCAGTACCCAGACTACAACTTCATGGGTATTATCATCGGTCCTCGCGGCTGCAACCACAAACGGTTGGAGGCGGAGAGCGGCTGTACTATTTCTGTTCGAGGCAGAGGCACTCAGGTAAAGTTTGGTTTATTTACTCGTTTCATTTTTTATTTATCTTATTTCCGCTCTCTCTGTTTGGCTGCACGATCAGCATACACATGAAAATACATGCATGTACGTGTCTACGCCGGAATGCTTGCACTAGCATACACCCGAATATTATATTAAATATATTAATATATTATTATATTATATTAATATGTTTTGTGGCTGTGTGCGCGTGAAAAACAGAAAGAAGGAAAGCGAGATCATCAGACAGACGAAGAAGCCTGCATGCCGATGCACGTTCATATCATGGGCGACACCGACGAGGCGGTGGAGGTGAGTGTATAAATAGCGGTGTATTTTTGAAATTCTTTTGAATGAAAAGAAATATAAACAAATAAATAAACAGAAAAACATTTTAAAATTTAATTTGATCTGCATTTACCCTGAGGATCGCAGCGGTACAGAAAAAGTTTCGCTGCGTGTTTCTGCATCGGGTTTCGGGTGTACGTACACCGCACCGCACCGCACCGGTTTCGGGTGTACGTACAGCTCGTGAGGTCTGGG